CCGTGAACGTACTGACGGTGGTGCTCGAACATCCTCTTCTCGCAGCCGTTCGCAGTACAAACTGCGTTGGCATGTAGACAGATATCCTCTACATACTGCCCCAGCGTACAATCCGGTTCGAAAATTGCGTCACCGCCATGTTCATTGTAGTATTCCAAGGCGAGAAGATCTGGACCAGAGCACGGAATCGATGTCGTTGTGCAGACAAGGCTGAACAGAACGACGATGTTCTGGTGCGCATAAGGATCGAAAAGACCGACGCTGCCAGCAACATAAGCCTCCCACTGTCGTTTCTGTGTTTGATAATGATGAAGCGCTCGGTCATATTCAGCATCATGAGCTGCGCGCAAAACCTCCTTGACCTTTAGCGGAGCTCCTTGCGGTGCCTCATGAACCATTTCGGGAGTAATGAGGATAAACTTTTGCGCCTTGGCCTTTTCATCTGCGGACAGTCCGGAGTCGGGATCTTGGTCGCGGAGACGCTTCAGGTAGGCCAGTCTGCGCTCCATCTCCCGAGCCCTCGCGAGCAAATAAGGAGGCTCAAATTTGACAAATGGCGAGGCAGACAAGATCTTTGTTTCATGGTCGTGGATGATCTCTTCGTAGTACGTCGGCATGGGAACATCATCTGGTACTTCGCTGGCCTCGCTAGGAGCCACCAATGCTTCTTGCGACGAATTGCTGGATTTCTTCTCGCCAGAGTCTCGGTCAAGTTCGCTTTTCTTGTCGGGCTCGGTATCTGGCAACGACGGCATCTGCGCGAATTCGTCTCGCATCAGACATGTTTCTAGCTTGAGGTTGTAAACAACATATGCCATGAATTCAGTGATCCGTTTGACCTTGGCAAGGACATTTCCGTCTCCTCCCCGCAGGACAATCGTACAGCCGAGTTCTTTTCGGCAGCCTGACAGGTACATGTATGTCTTCTTCCGGCCATTGTACACATAAGTCTTGACGTCGAAGCTGCCACAGTCACTCGTCACAGGTGTGGTCACAAGCTTATCCATCGAAGTTATGATTCGCGTTTGAGTACAGCGAGAAACAGCTTCGAGGACCGACGATTTAACATTGTACGCGGTTGCGATATTGGCTTTGTCCAGCAGTTCGAGAGCCAGGCCAGACACGTTCTTCTCAACAAGGAGCAAGTTTGGTCGGAGAGCAGCAATGCGACTAACAAGATTCTCGAGGAACTCCCGTTCTTGACGAATCACGGGCTCTAAGCTCATAAAGTGCTGTTGATGCCGTGCGTACTCAAGTGGAAACGCGATAATCAAGATTTTAGGTTGCGGGATGCTTCGAGGCATGCTCTTGAGTGCGAGGTTCTTGGTGAAGACGAGACCCGAGACATATGAGGTGTCCCCGGGCCTACCACCTGAGATCTTCTTGAGTTTGATGTAGTGACGAATGTCCATATCATCGCCACCCTGCACATCGGGTACAACCTCATCAGCTGCCTTCAAGAGGATCGGTAGGAGTGCAGTTTCCCACTTTGACGCATTCGGCACCGAAGCATCTTCAAGGAGTTGTTGTAGGAGTCTTCGAACGTGGTGCAGACTAGCCTTGTTCAATTCTACTGGCGGCGCACCTGCTCCCCTCATGGAGGAGCTTCTCGTCATTTTGAACCCACTTGGAGCAATCCCTATGGAAAAGACATGAGCGACATTTGTCGGTTCATGTGGATTGAAGACACTGTCTTTGGATGCTCTCGGGGAGTGACGCTGATGGACACTACTCGCAACGCTCAAATTGCGACGCCGAGAAGCCCGGGGCAAGTTTACGGCTCTCGAGCTACTGAGACTTCCTTCATCACCGTCACGGTAAGAAAAATTCAGATTCGTGGTGCTTCGGTCTCCGAAAGCAGACCGGCCCTTTTTCATCGCGGCGAGTAGCCCGCCAAAGGTGGTTCTCTCGCTTTCACCGCCGCTTTTAGACAAGGATCCTTCGGAGACTGCAGACAATAAGTTGGGCTGTTCATCAGCGCTGGAGGCGTCATCAGAAAGATACTGCGCCAAGTCTGGATCAATGATGTTATCTTTATGGAACGCGGGAAGACGCTGTTCGCGGGTAGAGTCATCTGCATGGCGTCGTTGGAATGGGGCTCTATCATCATGAAACGGTTTAAAGTTGCGAATATATTGCTGACGCGAGTGATGGCGCTTGTGGCCCATAGAATGAGGTCTTCCGCTCAAGGTAGACTTCAAGGATCTCGAGGAGGTAGGCCTAGTCAGTGGCCTGTCAGGACTAATCTCGAGAACGGCGGAGCGGCGGTTGTGCCCTTCGCCTGCACGTCTCGTTGCTGGAATGGCCATAGTGGGAGTCTTCATGACATGTTCGATGGATTGAGAGACTATAGAGGACGTGTCGTCATCATCCGGCGGAATGCGTGAGTATATACTTGCACCAAGCTCAGAAACCCGAGGATTTATCACAATAGGGCTTTGTTCACTATCTGAAAACTCCGAGGAATCATCGTCATGACCATTGATCATAGCCTCACAGGGTTTGCAGACACGAATGGTACCGGGTTGACCGAACCTGTCACCCGGAATGAGAAGTGTACATTTCGAATCAAAGATCTGGCCACAGGTCCGACAATGATGTTTGCGTCGGAAAGTGGAAAATGTTTCTCCACAATGGAAACAATCCTTTGCATTCTCATCTCGCATCCAAAACTCTTTGCTGAGTAGTTTGCTCCTTAGCTGAGACATGACGCCGTCGCCTCCACCGTGAGATCGCCGGCTTCGCCCATCTTGGCTAGAAACTCTTTCAACGGCCGTATTCAACGGCGGTAGTATGGGCGTCCCAGAGGTAGACTCTCCTGTTGAAGCCTGGGATGCCACATAGCCGGGTAAGCGACTGGCGCTCGATATAGAGAGCCTGTCGCCGGGTTTCTGTTTGACAGTAGCCTTCGCTGGTTCTTTTGACTGGGAGCTACCATCAGTCAGAGGCACTGAGACGCTAATGCCCGATGGCAATTTTCCTTCGGCTAGAGATCCTTCGCCGTGGTTGGAGACTTGGCTGACGCTGTTTGTCCTCGATCCAGAGGCCACAGTTGATCTTTCGGGCTTGAAAGAAGCGGCTGAGTTTGACCTCAATCGTTCATGGGGCAACGATATCCCATCTGGACCAAGGTCAACCGACCTCTTAGCCTTACGCAATGGGCCAGGTAAATTGGCTTCTATGTGTCCCTCCGACCTTCTGAAATAATCAGGGGGTTGACTGCCCGTTGTGGAAGATCTGCTAATTTCCGGGCCATCGTAGGCACTAGAATGCGACTTGATCTGCATAAGCGGGGAGTTCGGCAGACGTTGGCTCCAGCCTGACGAGCTTAGAGATGCAGTGTGAGGGCCTTCTTCCTTGTCCGTACCAGCGGAGTCAACTGTCTGCAAACTGTTGGTAGAGAAGTTGGCTGATGCATTACTTGAATGAGGAGGTGGTTCTTTGACAGCGTTGACATGAATTTCCGTGACTGTAGGGTCGACGGCCAATGCACTGCCTGTTGTCTTTGGCAAGGGCGGAACGGGAGATTTCAAAGCCGGTTGTGGCAAGATGGAAGCTTTTGAGGATATACTCGTTGTCTTGGAAGAAACCTTGGAGCTCTTCGCCAGTCCTGAAGGGGGCGGGCCATTTTGGGCGGAGAGGTTTCCAGGCACCGGCGAGTGTAACCTTGACCCTTGAGTTGAACCCGGATGGTACTGCTGCGACTCCGCGACCGAGTCCGGGGCCGATCTGGGGAACGAACGTTCTGACGGAAGCGGGCTTTTGAGGCCAGAGTCTTCGGCCGAGGTGTTGTTCGATGTTTTGCCCACGCCACCAACAATCCCACCCACTGATGTTCGGAACCTAGTATACAGTCCACTCAAACCTCCTTGCAGCTCGCCTGACAAGGTCTTCTCGTCGACGACCGAAGTCGGAGCTGGTGGACTAGTGAAGTCGTTGAAGACGGTGAGGGTATCGGACTGGTAGGCGGCGCTATGAATTTGATCGAGGGTCGCATTTAGGCTTTCGCGTTCAGCCTGTGTCGAGATAGATGCTCGAGAGCCTCGGCGACCCAGAGGAAGAAAGACCGACGATGCGGATGGACTCGACGTCCCCTGGGATCGTTGGGACGCCATCCAAGCTCCGTCACGTCTACACACACGGGGGCGGCACAGAGAAAAGTATCTCCCGCCGGGGGGGGGAGCTTATCGGATCGACCTCACAAGTTTATGAGGAGTAAGGGGTGGCAAACATTCGAAGTATCTTGCTGGGGCGGAGCTGGGTTGCTCGGTGATCGGAGTCTGTGCGGTGAGGATCCATGCATGAAGAGGTCGACTCCACATCATCTGGAGATGTTTATATAACGAGTGGGTTTTCTCGGGAAGAGGGTCGGACAGTCAGATAGTCAGACAGTCAGACAATTCAGTTTCGCGTTCGGTCGAGGGACAAAAGGCAGACAAAAGGCAAAGTTTTGACTTTTTGCTATGACAACGAGGGGGAAAGGTGGAGAAGGCGACTCGGGAGGAAGTTGGAAGATAATTCGGTGATTCATTGAGGAGGGACAAGCAGAAGCCGCAAGGATTGGGACGAAGCCCATGACATGTGCCGCTGCCCAATGACGTGGTTTGTGGCACCGGCACCGGGAGGGGCTGTGGCTGGTGAGGGTACCGTACTCATTACGGAGTAACTGATAAGTATGCGCCACATGGAAGGCGGTCAGACGCGTCAAATCGGCAAAGCTCGCGTTACACGGCGATCAAGGTGAAAGGGAAAAAAAAGCATGGTTTCTGGGAGAGGGGGTGTTGTCGTACTGCTCTCGACTTTTCATTTTCATATGAGCTTAATGGCTGCTGCTGTGGACCTTAGTGATTCGGACGGATCGGTGACTGTCACGCTGCTTGCATAATTAAAGCATTCCCGTATGCAGACACCTAATGCCAGTTCTTTTGTTTGATTTGTATCCCCGCCCAGACTACTATGCGCTGCTGTAGCAGCACAATAGACGAGTATCCTTCTCCATGATGGATACCCCGACGAAATGGATAACTTCGATGATTGATCGCCTCTTGAGCTCCTATCTGAATAAATCGTCGATCAAAATCCCTTTTGAGAACGATCAGAGCAACCTCCGCTTCCGCACCGATGTCGTTAAGAGCGTTCTGGTGAACAGTGTGAGCCCACCTTCCCCTTCCTAAATTCCGCAGCACTAACAAGAAACTCTTCCGGTAGTGTACGGAAGACCGCCACTTTAACAAACTCAATGTAACCGACTCGGATGCCCAAATCGAAGCGATCTTTTCCAGAGAGGCGCTGGAGGACTATCAGAAGAGATACCCACAGCATCCGTTCAGCAAAGAGGAGGTACGGGGATACCGTGTTCAGCTGGAGGACTTTGAGCTGGTCTTAGAGTATACCACGGCAACCCCGAAGGTCCATCTCTATGTCCAACGTTTCAAGGTAGAATGGGGCTCGGCCAGGGTCAAGACACCCCCAAAGGGGAAGACCCTTCGGAAACATCCGGTTTATAAGTTGATGCAAGATGCGTCCAGAGACGCCAAGCAATCTCTGCAGCATATAATGGCGCCTGCACCTCGACGTAATGATTCTTTCTCTTCGCAGACCCATCAAACGTTCCAGATGCCTGCCTCGCAGAATGGCTTCATGTCCCAGGTTTATCCAGCTCCTCAGGCTCAGGCTATGCAGCATCCGCCTCGCCCGGACAGAGATGCCAGGGTCTCTACTCTACTTGCAATGCTAGATCAGCGTGCTGGGACTAATATTCCATCGGATCAACTGGGACGCGTACCTTCCCTCCCTCCGATTCCGAATCACCAGCATGGAATTGCGGTACCTGCAGCAATGGCAAACATACCATCCGCCAGGTACTATACTGCAGAGCCTGCCAGGGTCAATATAGACATCGCGCCCTTGCCCTCTACCGTGCCGAGTGCAGCCGCGCAACCCGTCCCGCGCCCATCGAGCAATCAGTTCCTTCGGTTGGCTTCGCAGCCTCCTCTCGCCAAGGACAGCGTATCTCTGTCCAGAGTATCAAGGAACTCTGCGCCACCAAATAGTGAATTTGAAGCGGAGCGACTGCCACAGCTAGCAGGTTTGTCTCAAAAAGGCACAGAGAAACAAACTAGTCCCCCACTGCAGATGATCCAACAATCTCACAGGGCTGTAGCCAAGGAGAAGCAGCCGCTGGAGAAACTGGGACTTTGCCTTGAAGACCCCTGGAAGGACTTGACGCGGATTGAGGAACGGGATATTCGTATACCCAAGGACCAACAGAATTTACTAGGGTTATATAAGCGCCGCTGGATACCACCTCTACCCGGGGAAAGCAAACCACAAGGCCACGTACCACCTCGTCTACTTGCTCAGTGGAACACTATTGTGACGCGAAGAAGCCGGGCCGCTAGCGAAAGGTCACTGGAAAAAGCAACACCGGAAGCGCTTCCATTAGAACGGCCTTCACTTGGTCCTCCCAGCCCTACCCCTCGAGCCGATTCAGACTCAGAAGGCGAACCTTTGACGTCGCAGTGGTCAGAAAGCTCCCCTGAACAGACTATGCGTCGACGTCCGGCTCTGCCTGAAGACAGTAGCCCTATAAGAGGGAGCCCGCGCAGGCTAGGGCGCAATGTACCGGTGGCAGATAGACCCAAAGTGCAAGCTGATCGTCTGACCGAGGAGTCTATTCCAGAATCCGATCAGCGTGCTCTAAGCACGATATCTGAGAAACCGGGGGGCATTGCTGGCAGGGCCAAAACAGATATACATCCTGCTAGGCGAAGCATCCCAGTCCGAGCCCAAAGTCTACGAGATGACTCGGATGGCGACAGCGATGACTCCATGATGGATACCTCTGTGCCCTGTCCACTAGGGGTTGAATTATTTCAGTCGCAGTTTTTCACTCAGTCGGAGCGGGAGATAACCAGCTCAGGTCCGTCTCTTCCTGCACCCGCTACACAGGATCAGGTGCAGGTCGTTGATACTCCCGAGACAAACCTTGGACGGTTCCGCCATTCTCAGCCCGAACTGAGTAGCAAAGCCCCGGGAATGCAGCCCTTTAGTACCCAGTCACCCAGTGTAGACAAATCTTCGTCTCAGTCACGAATTCTGAATTCAGTTGGGAGTAGCACCGACAAAGGGTCTTCCTCTCAGGTCCTTTCAAATGATCAATCGCGGGGCACTAACGCGGAAATCCGGGTAGACATTGCAGGGACACAGATGAGCAATCAAGACCTGTCAACGCAGGACCCAACACCCGGTTCTACCGCGGATATGGTTCTAGATTCAAGTGCCCCAAGACTGCGTGAAGCGAGTGTGATCATGGAAGTCGCAATGCCCTCATCTCTACCGCTCGAGACCAGTGGTCAAAAAGGAGCCAGCTCCAAATTCCTGGCACAGAGATCGTCAAACAGGCATTCCGTGGGAGTGGTCTCGAAACGGCCTGCGTCTGCTCTCGAAGACGAGGCAAGTGGCCCATCCAAACGACCTCGAACGCAGCCGCCTGAGACAGCTCATGAACCAGCTTCCAGCGCATTGCATCCACAGAGTGCCCGCAATCCCGCTGATAGCTGGGAAGCTCAGCAGACTTATGGCAAGTTCTGTCGTAACTATCCAAACTATACTGGCGACTTTCATCACTTCACCAAGCTTTGCTCTAAGCTTCAGGCTGTGCGAGCTAAGGGCCACCTGCAACGGTCGTTTCTATGGGATGACTTCATTATCAAGCATCTCGAAGAGTTTCCTGGCTATATACAGCAAAACCAGATGTCAGAATCCAAGTCCATGGATTACGAGGACTATTTTGCATCTACGTTTTCCCGACCTGTTTACAAGAAGCGAAGCCTGACAGCGCAGGGTATTGCAATTGCAGCAGCACAGTATGACCCAGCCAGGAAGGAGCCTGCTCCTGCACATGCTTCGCCAAGCAGGCCAGACACTTCGTTCACCGGCAGCCTTGTGGACCGCTTCACTAATCTGCATGCTCACTCTTTCGAGCTAGGAAGTCAGGCCACCTTATCCGACACTGACATGGATATATCGTCTGTAATGTCGTCGCCCACTCCACATCGCCAGCCCCAGTCCGTCGTCCAGGATGGGGCTTGGAATACGACACGCCATACAGAGCAAAAGCTCCCCGAGGAAGATGCGTCTTCTGACCTTGCGTCAGCAGAGCGGCTCATAATACCTACAAGCTCGGCTAGCGCTTATGAGTCTGCCCTGGAATATGCCCCCATACACGAAGATATTACTGTCTTCGAGAAGGGGGAGTCCTTGGAGTCTAGTGGCCTAGAAAGTGGGGAGATACCTGAGGCAGCGACACCAACTCCAGGCAACCAAGTTTCAGCGTTTGAGACTGCGCAGCACGAACAGCACACTGGGGAGCATTACATGGATGATCGAGATCCCGCTCCAACATCAGCGGACCCAACTACCGTGGTTGAGTCCGAGCAGCACGCTTCGCAAGTCGAGGAAAGTTCGATGGCTGATCGCGACGCCACTCCAACACCCGCGGAACCGATGACAGTGGCTGAATCCGAGCAGCCCGCTTCGCAAGCCGAGGACAATTTGATGGCCGATCGGGACGCCACTCCAACACCCGCGGAACCGATGACAGTGGCTGAATTCGAGCAGCCCGCTTCGCAAGCCGAGGACAATTTGATGGCGGATCGGGACGCCACTCCAACACCAGCGGAGCCAGTCCCTGTGGTTGAGTCCGAGCAGCATGCTTCGCAAGTCGAGGACAGATCGATGGCCGATCGCGACGTCACGCCAATACTAGCTGAGCAAATCCTCGCTGTTCAGTCTCAACAGCATGCTTTGCAAGCCGAGGACAGCTTGATGGCCGATCGCGATGCCACTCCAGCACCAGCGGAGTCAGTCCCTGTGGTTGAGTCCGAGCAGCATGCTTCGCAAGTCGAGGACAGCTTGATGGCCGATCACGATGTCACTCCAACACCAGCGGAGCTAATCCTCGCTGTTCAGTCTCAGCATGAATCGCAAACTAAGAGTCAGACTGTAGCTGACCAAGCTGCTGAGACGACAGTGTCCGAGCATGTGGTGATCAGCCAAGTAGACGAGCTTGAAGGCAACCAAGATTTTTCAATGGGCGAGCCGGAAAGCCCGGATAGATCGATCATGGAAGATGCTAACAATATGGTTGGCCAAGAGTCGGAACCGGTGGCCCCAGAAGAAAACCTGGAAGTGATCAGTGCAATGAACGCAGCACCTTCAGTGCTTGAGGCGCATGCCAAGGTACCTGCTGAAAACACCTACGCCGCCGTCAATCAAGGGGCAGAAGAAACGGACACAGGAGAACACCCGTCATCAGTGATTACAGCTAGGGAAGTTACTCTGGAAGAACAGAACGAGTTGATTGTGGAAGACATACATGACACAGTCGGCCAGGAAGCCGAGGATATTGACTCAGCGGAGCACCTTCAACCCGTCGCTGCGGTGGACCAAGCAGGACCTATGGCCGCGGGGGAACAAAGTCAAACTCAATCCCACGGCACACCTGACCAAGAAAGCCAAGATGTCGATATGACAGTAGAAAGTCAACAGTCGTCGATTTTAAACACGCTAGATCGTGATGTCCATGGAACTGCGCCATTGGACTTAGCAGAACAGTCACAGGCCATTCTTGCAGAGGACCAGGCTAGGTCTCCCGAACCAGAAGAGCATAATGAGTCGACGGGGCAGCACTTGCCATATAATGCAGCAGGGGAGCTAAATAACTCCGAGTCGGAAGAACAAGATGCGCCGATTAATCAAGACACTTCCACGGTCGATCACAGAAGTCGGGCCTCCGAAGAACGGGGAGAACACGACCAATCGGTCATCCAAGACATCCAAGACTCATTTGGTCAAGAAAATGGAGCCATGGACTCAGCAGGAACCCTGCATTCTATTGTTGCAGAGGATGGGGTAGTGCCCGCCCAGCCGGAAGTGCAAGAGGCGCCCTTTGCTGGAGGCACCAATGATGTGCCTGCCCAAGAGGTGGATGCAATAAATTTGGCTGAGCTAGACACTGTTGTTGCAGGAGATAAAACAGTATCTGCCAAGCAACCTCTGTTAGAACAATCGGAGCCCTCGGACGCGGAGACTGAGAGCGCGGACGAAGATCTGCATTCAGCTCTTGCAGTGGATGAAGCTGTATCTGCCAGGCAACCTCTGGTAGAACAACCGGAGCCCTCGGACGCTGAAACTGAGAGCGCGGACGAGGCGCCGCGCTACCCCATGGTTGCGGTCGAAGTGAGATCCGTTGGAAATGGTTCAGTTAAGTCAGAAGAGCTCTTCGATGCTGATGTGGAGAGCGATGTTGAGCAGGTGCACTCTGTTCTTGTAGAAGATGAAGCCAGCGCTGCCGACCTAGCTTTGCCAGATCCAGCAGAGCACTCAGACATTGATATGGAGAGCGATACCGAGATTCTGCCCTTTGTCCTGGCGAAGCACGCAGCCAGCTCGGCCGAACACGCTCTAGTAGAACCGGCCGAGCACTCAGATATTGTTATGGAGAGCGAAGTAGAGCTGCTGCTCTTCGACGATACAGACGACAAAGCTAGCTCAACCGAGCAGGCACCAGTATCTCCAGAAATACACTCCGAGATCGAGACTGCGGGCCCAGCCGATCCCAACGCGACGACCGAGTCCGAGTCCGAGGAGGACGAAGAAAACGATGATTCCATTGGGGAACACCACGAGACCGCCAGCATCGAACTAGGCGACGAACCGCCGTCCCCGCCGCCTACTACTCGACCGCCAGCGCAGCCCGAGACCGTATCCGAGGCGGAGAGTGACACTGATGATGATGATGAGATTAACGAGAATTGGTTCCTGTCCCTCCGCCATCTTCGTCCGACAGCACCGGTCTGGTCGGACGACCCCAACACCCCTTTCAAGCAGTGGGTTCGAGCCGACCAGGCGATTCTGAGCGAGCGTGACCGCCGCGGCGGGGCCTACCTTCCTGTCGATGCGAAAGGGGTGATTCAACGACCGGGCTATCGATAACTTTTCATTTCCGGGGACTTATCTTCTACTTTTCTTTTCGGGGTCTATCTCTTACTCATCTTTTCCTTTCGGTGTACATCATTACGTGGGACTTATTTGTTATTCTGCTGATAAAAAGCGGGCGACATGAACTAGATGATTATCCTCCGATTCGATGAGAGAGTTGAGAGCGGTTCAAGTTCGGATAAGGATCCAGGTTGATGACTACTACATATTGTATTCTATCGAAATGCTGCTGGTGCGCATCGCATAATGATACCCAAATTGTACTTGGGCCGTGGATACTACTACCTAGTACTCCATAAGCAAGGCCATGATCGATCATGGTCTGGCCGCTTGCCGGATTCCAATTCCGGATTTTGATGCGGTGCGGAAGGTCCGTGCGCAAGGCATCCATAATGATGTAAGCGGGAAGTCCCACTCTGCGCCGGAACAGCTGTAAATCCCCTTCCGTAAGTTCCGTTGCCAGCTCCCCCGGGCGCCTTCTCCATCTTTCCTTTTCTCCCCATCTCACCTTCATCCTCTCACTTGGCAACATCCACCCCACATAAAGGAAGTATCTGCTGCTTGCTGTTCTCGCCGCCAGGCCTGCCATTCCTGTGGTTTCATAGGACTCTCTGATTTCATTTATTGACTTCAGATTGGGCACGCTCTCGTGACCAGGCCGCAAGACGCTTTTACTCCCTTTATGCCTCTTATTCTCGTTGTTGATTTTATGCACGTATTATGAGTCAGGGCTGCTCACTTGCTTTTCAAAGCCTGGGTGGGAAAGGGTAAACTCGATTCTTCGAGGGTTTTCGTCTCCAATCTGATTTATCTTGCAACGACAGCACCATGACCGATTCAGCATCGACAAATCCGCCGTGGGCCACACGCGTGAAGGCCGTTCTGGTCTCTTCATCCACTCGCGAGAATCCCTCTGTTGCTGGTTTTCGTCTTGCCTATGATAAAATCACTAACCAAGGATGCATTTCTCTCAGTATCAGGGCAAATCTAACGAATCGTCCGAGCGGTGAAGAAGATACGCTGATATTGAGAATCCCTCCCGAGTCAGTCAAGACATGTAACCTAATCTCAGCAAGCGACGAAACACTTTGTTCCGACTATTTTGCTTCGAAGCTTCCGACAAGAGTGAAAAACATTCGAGACGTCTCAACACTGACACTGGAACTTAATCGGGCGCCCGCGGAGGGGACGGTTCTTTGCTCATCTGAGATGTCGTCTCTACCCCCTGCGACTCATGGGGACTGGAATTTCGCTTCCTTTGCAAGGATTTGTGAATTCGCTTCTCTACGTATCCACTTTGCCGCGCGACAATTCGTGGGTGGTGAACTCGGGATCTTGAAGACTTTCGTCCGTGGCCTTGAGACAAGAAGCCTTAAAGCAGTATCTTTTGATGACTCTCGCCAAGGTCTGGTCGAGAGAGTCTGGAAGGACCTGGATGTGTCGCTTGAGCGACCGCCAGATTATGAGGAGCCTGCGCCCGAGCAGGTCAAGCAAGTGGATCCACCCCCATATAATGAGGAACCCAAGTCAGCGCATGTAGGCGGGAAACGGGCCCGAGGTATTCTATCATCTAGTAGTCCTTTGTACTTTAAACCTTGTACAACAGCGTTGTTGATCATACGTATATAGACCACTCTTTAATACCGTCATCCGAGGATGACAGACGAAAGAGACCACTCTTTACCTCCCCGGAACCGCCCTGCTGTCCCACCGAAGTCAATACGCCCAGTACTCTCCCTCCTTCACCGGCCTCAATCCGGCCCACCGACTTTACACGTCGTTCCTCTCCAAGCCGTACAGAGCGTGACACACTTGCACGTCTTGAACATATGCTCAGTGGTGCTTCCACTGACCTGATCCGCAAACTATTGGTTCGATTAGCAAGTCGATGCCTACAGGATACACCTGGAGATCCCGAGAATCATCTGCTGTCTGACTCCGAGAAATTTCCTTCTGCCCGGGTGGAAGCCATGGAACACCGCCTCGAACGCATCGTCGAGGAGAAGATCAAGCGTTTCATCGAACCACACATCCTCGACGCGATCATCGATAGCGCTGTAAGCGAGTGCCGGGACCAGTTCCTGGATGAATGCCACCTTCACGAGACCGAGTTTCGCGACCAGGTGGAGGACGGAAACACCGAGGTCCGCATTACCGCCAACGACTGCATGAAGGAAATGGAAGAACAAGCCCAACGGCATCTGGACGAAATCAAAGAGCAAGCGCAGCAGTATTTGCATAAGATCGAGGACCAGGGAATCGAGGCGGAGATATCCGTGGAGAAAAAGGTCGCGAAATTAAAGCATGAGTTGAACATGTCGGCGCCGTCTCTGCCTGATCGCGAGTCAAGGCCTAGCCAGGAACTTGGCCCCAAGGGTAGGCGCAGCTCTATCTAGTGCTTTGGGTAGAATCGCAAAATCCCATCTCTCGTTTCTATTCTGCCAGAGTATCGAAGGGATGTCCGAAGCACTGAGGTTGATGAAGTCAAGGCTAACGTTATGGGGAACTTACTGGCTGCTCCCTGCAGTTCCCGCCAATCATGCTACTCGGTAAGGGATCTTCATTGCCGCACTAAGGGGCCGGCCATGCAGAAGTCTTACTGTCCCTTGCGGTTTAGCGTGTCTGCTTGCCCCCATTCTAGATGCTCTCCTTGTGGAGATTATTTGTACTTCGGCCACAGCCATCCGAGAACATCTTATCGCCGGAAACGTCGACCGCCGATGAAGTTGTCCGCCCTACACCAACTCAATAAGCCTGAGTCCTGAGACATCTCTCGGTTGCATCGAGGCAGAGAACAGAGCAAAGAATACTCTGTAAGCACACTATATCATGCTTCCAGGGAAATCCTCTGTGCTGAGCCTGCTCACAGCTGCCGCACCTTCTATATGCGACATGCACTTTGACCCACAATAGTAGCTGTAGTATCTGAACTTAACATAAGAGAAGAAGAAGGCCCTGCGGGCCTGCGCTCTGAGTTAATTAAATATGTAGTGCTATTGATGCCTGAGGCAACAGTGAACAGTCACATGACAGGCTATCAAGGAAGCCTGTCACCGAGAATTCCAAACCGGAATGCATGGAATATGCCCAGTGAAGGATAGTATGTTCAATACTCGAGAAGACACATTAGTAACAAGACCAGACAACCATACTTCAGGGCATGGGCCACTTCACATATCCCGGCTCTTGCTCCAGACGACCTTCCCGCACCAGGTTGTCAAACGTCCAGTCGCAATGGCAGCCAAGGAGACTAATGTTCTGCAAAGCACGGGCAATGAGTTGTTAGTTACCCTGAATCATGAAAGCACCACACGATTGCCGAAGCCAAAAAAGGCCGAAAATCAGTCGTCGAGGGGAATAAAAACCTACCTCGAGATGGAAATCCGCATGCCCATGTAACGCACCGACTTGTCTCCAAGTATTCACCGTGTCCGCCAACAGAGAGAACTTCCCACTGCTGACCCACGTAGCCGTGGAGCGACCTCGATCGTATCGGAACCAATGGCCGGTGTCGTGGGCAGGCGACGGATGACTCTCCGTGGCCGCCTCGGTGTGGAGATGGGCCATCCCAGGGGGATATAGCTGGGGGATGGCCTGCAGAAACATAGTCTTCAGAGTAGGCATATGCTGGGCCGCTTGGCCGGCTGCTCGATGGAGGTCGTTGAGGAGATCCGCCGGCTTACTCCGAAAGGCGTCGGGGTACCGGTCTTGGGGAGCCGGAGTTCGGGGGTCCTCCCTTGTTCCACACTCGTAGACATCTTCCCGCTGAGACGAACTATACGGTTGACAGCGGGGGTCCTTCTCGAACAGCCACTGTCCTGATGGCGTCACCGCTTGGTAGACGAGTTTCAATGAGGTGAGCCGTGGCCATCGGGGCGGTGCTGAATAAGGGTGGTGCAGCGGCGGCCAGAAGAATTCAGGGCCGATCATAATCTTGTCAAGCTCGACGGTCACCAGCTGCTGCGTCAGATGGTTGAGAGCAAGGCTGAGCGGGTCAGCCCAAGGCTCCGACCGCCTCAAAGGGGGGAAATGTCCATCTGCTGGAGGAAGTCCCGGATATTCTAAACAAAGGTGTTGAATAGTGCTTGGCCAGTTCGATACGGTGAGGGCAAATTCTAACAAACGCGAGTTTTTGATTTCAGCCTAAGTAAATCATCGCGGTCAGAATAAGGTAGTACAGTACCATTCCGGAGTTGATCCCGCAGCTTTGGATCTTTTCGTTCATTGTCTGACAGGCTTGCATGAACTATCTGCGCCCCAGGAAGCCGCGATAACAACTTGGAGACTGTCGCTGGGGCGATCGTACGATGACCACGGCATGTAACTATAAATTGCGTCACGCAGCTGAGCTCGGGCAATATAGCCGGATTTGTTATCAACTCCAGGTAGGATTGATAGAATCTCCAGTCTAACCAGTCCTTCTTAGGGAATTTGCGGCCCCATCGCCGACGAGCCATACGTTTTTTTTCATCAGGCTCGGCACCACAATCGCTAGAAGATCTGGCACGTATATTCAGCGAAAGTCCTGCAACATCCTCTTCAGCCCATGTACTCAGAATATCCCAGAAAGAGACTATGGTCTGGGTGAAGGCCTCATTGTTTTTCTGGCGATCTATTTGGCTTTCCAACTGGGTCCGTGCAGCAATCTCGTAGGCAGGAAGCAGAATGTACAGATCCAGATAACGAATCAAGCAGCGCCGGTGTGAACTAGAAGAGATAATCCGTTTGAAGTCACCCAACCGGTCAGAAGTTAGAAGAAGATGGGAGAAGGTCTGCTTCTCAATCAGCACCTGCCATTTTCTACAGACACTGGCATAAGAAGCTAAAGAGGCTGAGCCTAATTGTGTCAGAATCGAAGAGAGGATTTCGGAGGGCAAAGCACTGATTTCAGTCATGATTGTTTTGAACCTCCAATCTTGTACATTGGCACGTGTTTGTGGTCCATCGGGATGGAGGTTTCTCGGTCACCCGTGACCAATCAGAGCTAACTTATCTGGTAAGCGGTTAAGCCCGCCTGAGGTGCTCTTTGGGACTACCTGATTAGGTACCTAGGTAGCCTATTGAAGGTAATGAATCGGAGTTGGGTTTGCTCGCTGCCAATCGTGGATACAAGGACTTTTATATCCACAAGAGTTTGATAGGCTACTACAAGGGGTAACTACCTGTCAGTGCATGATGGTAATGAACATGGGAGTAGAGGTTAATGCTCGTCGAGCGATGCTTCATGCAGTTTTTCGATTGCATCTCCCAAGTCCACAGCAATTCACCTCCCATCTAGACACCGGTCTGAATCCAAACCTTCCACTCAGTCCGCTGGTTCTCCCGACCCATGCACTGCTCCACTTTCGAGCCACCATCGGTTGCATAGTAGATTGTGCCTGTCTTGGCTCCCCCGACCCAGGTATCGCCGCCAAAGTTCTCGTTGGTCCAGTGGATCTTCTCTTCCTTTTCAAGCGGCGAGTAACAATACGCACACACTTTTTCATCGCGCACCTCTTCCGGACCATACACAATGGCTACAATTTCCACCGTCGACTCGGCGGGATCGGGCATGGGCCACTCACTCGACAGACGCTTTTCTTGATGCATGAGGACTCGATATGTTAGCATCCGCTTTCAAATGGCTCAGCGACTTCAGTACACTATTCAACAGTAATCAGTATATCAATGAAGAATAGAGTAGATGTTGGGATTTGAGCAAATCACATACCTAGCATACGGATCGGGTGAGATCTGACCCAGTGTATCTCAGCCTGGAGTGCTCCCCCGCCTCCTGTAGGATGGCCTCATCTTTTGGCATGCATATATACTGCTCCACCACTTCATCAAGCACATACGACCACAGGGTGTGGAAAATAGGGCTTCCCGTCCGCTCAGCCGTACTCAAGCCACACGCCGGGAGGTTAGTAGTTGGGTGGGTGACCACCAGCGAATCCCTTCTGTTGTATGTTTTTGTCTTTTTTTTTTGGCAAGCACTTCACTTGCTTGTCGAACTTGGTCAGGTAGATTAGTAGAAGATGTAAACTTGCATTGATGCGGGTGTGTCTAGATATTCCATGATCAATTAAGAAGATGGCCGAACCCCCGAGTATTCGAAGGTGTAACAATCTCCCCAGACCCAGCTGGGTGACATACGCACATATAAGAAGACAGCAAGTTTTGTTCAACTTTCGAGCCAGGCAATCCAAGCATAAAGGATAGCATTGGGGCTTGAGGATAGCTAGCAACAAATTATTCATTACATTTGATGGTCATAACAGACAGATTCTTCTTAAGACTAATCAGCCGCATCATCTAGCATGTTCTTCCAATATTGCAATGTTAACCCCTGGTTGTCGACCCGTTCGTCGCTCGGACCAGCAAACGGTAGGAGCATCTTCACCGTGGAAGCGTGGGCTCTATCTCTCGCGCATCGCAGGGCTGTTCTTTTCTTGGCATCGACAATTGAAGCATCAGTTACCTTCAACAGATATGCCATTATCTCGTCAAATCCTCTTTCCGCAACACAATGCAATGCTGTTTGGCCAGAATAATCGAGTGTATTCGGGTCACTTCCATGTTCAAGCAGTAGTAAGACTATATCCTTCTGGTTTTGTTCACTCGCCCAATGGAGGGCTATTCTATCCAAGTCTCGTTCTGGAATATTGACATCTACCCCACTCATGATCAACAATTTGACGGCAGACCATGCACCTGACTGAGCAATATTGGCGAGACGTTCACCCAGATTGCATAGAGAAGGCGTTCCTTCCGGATATGTTTCATTAGCGGCAGTCGCAAGGTCGTTTATCACTTCAGCATTAAAGTGCAACGATGTGGCAATATGAAGAGGTGTTTCACCGTGACAATTTGGCAAGGTGATGTCAGCACCGGCGCTCATAAGAAACCTCATGATATTGGTGCGCTCTTGTTCTGTTCCATGTAGAGTGTATATTACTCCATTGGGGGGAGACTCGGTGACTGAAGACCACATTTTGGAGCCGCCTCGCGATACAGCAGCTTTATGAAGAGCGGTATCGCCCACATTGTCTTTCAAGTTGACAAGCGCCCCAGCAGAGACAAGAGCCTTGACATTCTTTTCTCGAATGTGCAGAGCAGCAATGTGAAGGGCTGTCTGCCCATCGCAATCTGTCAAATTGACTTCTGACCCGGCACTAATGAGACACTCGATCAGAAGCGGTCCTTCTTCTCCCATCTTTGCAGCCTCATGCAGAGCTGTCGCGCCTTTCTCATCTTTCAAATTCATAAGCGCACTAGCGGAAACAAGAACCTCAACATTCTCTCCTTGACCTACAGACACAGCAATGTGAAGCGCTGTTTGCCCAATGTCATTTGCCAAATTGACGTCCGATTCGACACTAAGGAGATATTCGATCACCTCCGGCCCATCTTCTTTCAGTTGTGCAGCAATATGAAGAGCTGTATCCCCCTTCTTGTCTTTCAGGTGGACTTCCGCCCCTGAAGCCACAAGGTCCTTCACCATTTGCAATCTGCTTTTGGCATCAGCATTGTATTGCAGTTCTGATCTTCCGAACCACCATGGCTTATTTATAATTGATAGGATAAGTAATGGAGCTCTCTGTTGAACGCCAATTCTAGTGAAATAGGCGTCGGCTTTGGAATCGTTCAGTGTGTCGTTGATGACTCTAGAGCCCGGGTAGAACGCCTTGTCGACAGACTACAGAAACCCCAACATCTTATCGGCGCAAAGTGCGTGTCGCAAAGCTATTCCAAGGGCAAATCGGGCTTCCAATTCATCGACTTGGTGCATTTTACGAAGCAATGTGAGAGAAACCTGGAACTTCTTTGCTTCGGAAAGTCCATCATCATGAAAGGCCACCCTGAACAAAGCCTCGCCCCAGGCTTTTTTGAAAGCGGGGATCTCAATAAGGATTTCAAGCCATCGATAGCTGGTTACATCGTCCAATGCTGGGAACGAATCAAATTCTTTGGAAGACGTCGCGCGGTTTCTCATCATTGTCAAGTAAAGATACAAGGCAGAGTGTTTGTGCTTCAGCGTCCACGCCAGCTCTGGCTGGTCAGGTTCAATAAAAACAGATAAGTCCTCGACGAATGTCTCGGTTGCTGGAAACCCATAGCTGCCTCTTGAGCTACTCTGGACTTCCAGGTCCCAAGGTCGACTTAAAGGTAGGGACTCATCTTCAATGCACTTGCAGAAGAGAGCCCACATCCCCTGGTCATCTGGTCTAAAGTCCTTCAAATGGAGGAACCAATGGTCTCTGACATAAACAAGAAAGGCACCAATCTGCATCGCGTCTGTTGGACAAGATCCATGGTACTTAGGGTCTCCAAGAGACTCCAGAGTTCTCTCGATATCACGCACGTTGATGTGTGGTGATCGCCTCTTCCAAGACGACTGCAGCTTCCATAACATTCTATTCTTGCGGGAGATGTCAGGATAGACTGAAGATGCGCCAAGGAAGAGAGGATCAATCACGAGCCCTTTCTCAGCCTTCACTAACTGATGACTGAAATTGGTGAAATTCAGATACGTCATGCACAAAAAGCCAAAGTGCTCATTGACTTTTTTGGCGTCAAAATTTGCGGGGTCCTTGTTCTTAGTGGGGAAGAGATGTTCCTTGACACTATGATGAGTGTAATGAACTGTATGCTCTTCGTCATCAATGAATGTCAAACCGAAACATCCACGGACAATCCGATTCATATCATTGGGTAGCCGCTTTGTGTTCAGAGACCTTTCGCCGAGGGAGATGCTTAAAGCTTCCCGGTATTCCTCAATGGTCAGTGGGCGCTTCACAACACCGCAGTATTGAAGCAATTCCATTGCATGGTGGGAACCCTTTCCCTGCTGGATTCGACGAATCTTTGAATCGAAAAGGTCAGCCAAGCCACGCGGAAGGTGGTTCAACGCATCAAGTATGTCTTCATCGCAGTTATTTTCACACAGATCTCTGATACATAGACCTGCCCAAAGAAACCTAAGTGAGATCCGATTAGAGCTTTCAACTTCAACACAATGGCTGGTCCCTGGATATTATACTTACATTCCTTGGGAGCCCTCCAGTAAAGCGTCCGCGATCGTTGTGATAATATCCTCATCTTGAAGGACCAGCTCCCCATCCTCCAAGCAATCATATAGGGTTGCAGCGATGTATCGTTCCATATCGACGTTGAGCTTCCCCTGATCAATCACAACGCGATGCTGTGGCCGGCCCCACTTGAACAAATCCACCTCAAGGCCCGGACGACCCGCACAAATAATCTTCAACGTCCCGACCTTTCCTTGGGAGAGCATCTCCAAAGCCCTTGCCATTTCTCGAATCTGAACCGTCTCACACTCGTCTATTCCATCGAGGACAATATAGTACGTCCGCTCCTTGAGCATTCTCGAGAGGAGGAATTGTACGGTTTCATTCGTGTCCAAACCTTCACAATCGTGCTCAATCGAGAGCAGATCTTCGTGACTGCTGCCCTCAATCAACGAATCAAGCAGCTGGCGACAAATGCTACCGACGATGTTTCGCGCCGAAAGAGATGGCTGATTGTCTGCTTGACAGAAGAAATGCGCAACATAATCATTTTCACGTCGGGCCGAATGTAGAAAAGAGACCACATTAGACATCAGAACTGTCTTCCCCATGCCCATCGTCCCAGAGCACCAAAGGATTGATGACTCTGGACTAGCCTTCCATTCAAGGAATGCGTCGTCATGCAGTAGCCACTCGGCGGTTGATTGGACTCGCTGCTTTAGAACTCGTTTCCAAGGTGGTATGTGGTCGACGGGGGACAGATGCTGTCGGATTTTGATCTTCAAGGACGCCTTTTCTCGCTTTATCTGGTTGATCTGCCACTGCCTCGCCTCTTCTTGGTGGTGTGCTGAATTGCTGAAAAAGTTCAGGGCAGATGACCTGTACGAGGAATTTTCCTTGCTCTCATATTCCAGCAGCATTTTTGCCTCTTGGTTAGCCTTTTTTGAGGCAAGAGAGACCTGCAACATAACCTGCTTCCTGGTTGAAGCTAGTCGCTCCAAGAATGGGCTGAACTCGGACTCGAAAGGACTCCAGATGGAGCAGATGGTCTGCAAGGCTGATCCTCGACGAGACACCTCGATGACCTTGCTACATAGCTCAACTATCACGGCATAGTAGTCACACAATGAACGCTGAAGACCAACATGTCCATGGTAAAGCTGGCCAAATTGTTGGATGGTCGGGCAGGTAATACCGATGTCCTTGATCATGTTGGTAACTTTGTCAAAATAAGAGGCGACGTTGCTGGCCACGGTTATGGCGGTCTTGATTCCACCCCAAATTAAGGCCGCCGTCTCCGGATGGGAGCTGACGAATGTTTCCACAGCCCCCGCAAACTGCTGTGTTGCAGTCAGGAAGGTACATAGTCGAGGGGCGATGCTTCGCCTGGTCTTGCTCGCGTTCTCAGCATCAAGCTGGGCGACAAAAAACAGGACACTCCCCGCATCAGGGACTGTCGTGCTATCTTCGAACTGTTTCCGTTGCTCAGTTGTTAGAACCTGCTTGAAACTGGCTAATGCCTTTGTCAGGGACTCCGTGGGGTCCCCGTCCTGTCGGCTTTTGTTCTCCTTGCGTGGTATTTGAAGGGCCATGTGCGTGGTCAGGAGCAAGCAATAAATGATAATATCTGGCACAGCGACCTCCGATGGGAGTCTCTTTGGTGGTTATTGCTCGAAGCGTGTACTGTCCGACAAAATCGAGAGCGCAAGCACCTGTGGCTTGAGGTGACGAGAAGGCGTCGATGCCAGGCAACCTCATCAGGTCACGCGGTGGCGGTGCATATCTAGCGCCTCACCCCTGCTCTTCGTTGGGCGTTCATCTGAGCTCCTAAAACAGGCCAAAATGCCAATCATGCACCTTTGGGAATTGTGACTGTGACCGAGCGAATAGGATTCCTGAATCAAAGATCTGCTTGGAACCACTCGTCAAAGCCGACACCCAGTTTGATGATATATGATGATGCTCGCTCTCATGCAGCGTTGGCCCGCGTGGGGAACACAACTCGACAATCTATACCATTATTGAAGAAAGTAATCCTCCCAGCCTTGATTTCATCCCTCCTACACGCATGAACGGGCTATGCTTGACCAAAATGTTATCATACTCGTCGGGAGAGGCGTCGAGAAGGGGCAATATGATGCTGACGTGGGCGTCGGTGACAAGCACATCCAGCCGTTCTCCTGTTCGGTTCGCAAGTGTTGACGCAGTGACGAATTGATTCGACAGATATCACTTCCATTTCGACGATTTCGATACCATCGATTCCAGCTGGCGATCTGCCCTTGGCTTGGTTGCACAGCCGACGAAGACGCGGAAGCCCTTCGATTGGAAGACTTTAGCTATGGCTGCTCTGAGGCGTTCATCGCTACATCTGGTGATTATAGCTGTTTTCGACATCCCAGCACTTAGTCGTGATGCGTGGAAATAGTGGTATGCCTCGAGCTGATGGCATTGCTGGACGACAAGGGCAGTAGGAAGTGATGGACGGACACCGACGAAGAAAATCAGCTAGTATGGGGTAGAGTCAAATTGAGAGAGTGAAGCAAGTGGAGGGCTTTTCGGTCGAATGTGACTAACACGGATGGAGACTCACATTAATTAAGTGAAGAGCGCAAGATGCTGGCCCATGGGCTGGTGGATGAACGCCGGGCTAAATCGAATCTGCGCAATTCTGGGTGCCAGGGAGAGGAGGGGGGGTTTATACTCGGTCCGTCGGATTGCGCGCCTTCCTGATTCGGCTCTTTCCGTGCCCCTTCACCAGCATGGTTGTACGATTGGAAGGAACTGACCCGTGAAAGAGAAACCTTCATTGTGATCTTCGTGGCGCGTGCCTAGGGACCGATCCAAACTACATAATAAAGGTATACAAAGTAATCACTGCAGCAAACTGAAAATAAGCTTCTAGCGTTGAAAAAGAACAGACCCAGAAAGTCAGAGATATGCGTCTATCAACTTCCACGAGACACTACTAGACAACTCATGCGATAAGATAAGTTTTAAATTTCCCATCTATAGGTACAAAAACAATGCCGCGGAGCAGCAGGTATCATAAGATAAAAGCAAATGAAGCAATGTACATATCAAAATGAATGTGAGGAGATACGAAGTCTAGAGCGAATCAACTCTCAATTGCAGATGCAGCTTGCATTAACGTCATTAGACCAACATGAGCCCCAATCAACAGTTGAATAAGAGGCTTATTGGTATGTCATCATGATTGTAAGAGGTCATTATCTCCGGGTTCTTTCAACCGAAACGCCGTTTTCCCAAATGTCATTCGATGAATGAAAAGAGCTTTCCGACGCAGCTTAGACGTGACGGAAAGGCTCGTACGCGTTGGTGCGGCCGTTCTGCTGCATGGGAACGTGGCCCGGGGGAGGAGGGGGCGGGTAGGCGGTGTTGGTGTAGGCGGGCTGCTGGGGCTGGCCGTAGGGGCCGAGGGGCTCGTAGGTGTAGGGGGCCTTCTCAGCCGTGACGGCGCGGGCGGTGTTGCGGTGGTTGTAGGGGGAGCGGCCGGAGCAGCAGCAGGTGCTCAGGAGCCAGAACAGGGAGGCACCCAGCGAGAAGGCGACGGCGAGCCAGGTGGCGACATACATGTTCTTGCCCATGTGGCCCTTGACGCCATAGGATTCCAGCTCGGCCTTGAAGACGCCCTTGAGGACGGCGAACAGGGCGGTTGACGTCACGGAGGCGGCTGTCGTAAAGAGGAATGCGACCTGCAGGCGGGTTTGTTAGTGGAGGGTACGGAATGGGAGGAATGCGTCAGAACATACAGCTGAGACGAGAGTGGTCACGCAGCTTCCCCAGCGACTGCAGATGGCGAAGACACCCACGACCAGTTCGACGATGGTGGCGATGAATGCGATGATGTAGGCGATGAACATCCACTTGGAGACGCTCTTGTAGACCTTCAGTTCCTTCTTCACGCTGCTGGAGAGCGCGTTCTCAAGACCGGACTCTTCCAAGTTCCACACCTCCAACGGGTTGAACCAGAATTCAGCTTCGGGCTTCGAGCAGTTGGTCGTCTTGTAGTCGTTGCCGTTGGTGATGTTGCCCGAGCAGTAACCCCACAGACCGACGGTGTAGAAGTCCTGGATGTTGTACTGCTCCTCGATCTCCTCCAATGCGGCCGAAAGGTCGCCATCCGAGACACCGGCGAGATCGCTGATGGCCGAGGTGATTTTCGCGGTCGTCGATGAGGTTCCGTTTGTGATGTTTTGGAGGTTGATCTAGATTGAGGTTAGTCCGGCACATGTAAATGCATGCAGGCGCATGGTATACATACTCTGAAGAAGTAGAGACTATCCAAGGTACTGGAGCTGGATTTGGTACAGCCCAGCCCCACCATGATAATACATATTAAGGAGGCGATGGTGAGGACATATGGGGTGAAGATACAGACAATGCGACCGCCTTTACCCATGGTGCCGATGACTTTTTGAAAGTGTGATGCTGTTTTTGGTATTTGAAAAAACTTGTCCAGGGAAGGTTGAGAGTGGACAAAGTTGGCAGGAAAGTTGAAGAAAGGAAGAGAGTGAGAAAAGGCTGGAGTCAGCGGACAGAGGCTGGGCTTTAAACAAGTAAATAAACGGGTGAGCCGAAGGATCGCCGGGATGATGTAGAGTTGAGAGAGAGAGAGAGAGAGAGGCGCAGTCAGCAGCAAGCAAATAATGCGGATGGTTGGGAGCAAATTTACAGCCAAGTCGATCAGCGGACCAATCACGAGATGTGCCGCACCAACTACGCCACGCTTGTTTCTATTTCGATAATGCAATGTTTAATGTTTCCACCGCAACACGGGACGAGTGGGTCCCTTCACTGCTCTTTTTCTTTGCTTGAGGGCTTTTGACACCGCCAGACCCTCGTGGCGGAGACTCACCAGCCCTACCGCCACGTCAGTTGTGGCTGCGTAAATACGCGTCTTATGGTCTTATGGTCAGTCCATCTTATCAAGATGTACTCCGTAGCAGACCCTGCCATTGTACGAGTACGGATAGCTAGAAACGGACTGCCTGGTTTGGGGGGAGCTCGAACCAACCCCTCCAGCCCCAGCTTTTAGCACAGTCGCAACACGACTGCCAAAGTCAAATATCACAGACGAAGGATCCGAGCCCGCCCCAGAAGGTCAAACTTATCTGATACACAGTGGATCGACTCCAGCGATCATCATGTTGATGAGTTTATTATTCATCGACCTTTCCACTCACATTCCACCAGAAGTTGGACGAGTCAGCCCATTGCCCAAGGCCCAGGAAAAGCAAAACAGGAGTTTTAGGCTTCCCCGTTATCCTCTTGGCAACATTAATCTCAATGGTCACAGATAGACATCAGCATTGTAATCCGGGGAGACGTACGTACCCTCGCTGCAGATTCTGCGTCTAAGCCTCGACACACGCACCTCACGTCTTGGCTTCATCTGCGGCGTTCCATGGAACCCAACAGGAACATTCGCCTGACTAAGCGGGGAGGATATCTCCTGCACAATAAGAGAACTTCAAGGCAGCTCCAAAATTGCGATTTGTTGCAGTAGATACGAAAGCATTCGACTTGGAAACATGGCAACGATGTTATGACAGGAAAGAGTCGTCGAGACCATCAGTGGCTGATCGACAAGCCGGTTACTGCTCCTCCCTCCGGCAAACTTTGGCTGTCACCGGGAAGCTTACGTTGGCTGTCTCAGGCCGATGCCCTGGTTTATTGACTTCTATTCTGGGCACCCCCTCAATTCGATCCGTGGAACTGCACACACATACGCTGTCTTCACGCTCAAAAGTCAAAAGAACCAGCAGAGCTCAACCTTCCCATTGAGCCAGGCTAGAGCATCCATTCAGTAAGGCTGAAAGGGACAGACCATCAGTACGGAGTACAGCTCTCGTCTATGATGTCAATCCCTTACATAACCATTCGCAGGTCAACGCCAAGAACATCCTCGAATATGTACAGCACCTCGTCCTCTACACCACGCAAGCTCACCCCAGATACGGCTCCAGAACGTCCAGCATCCCGCTATAAGCCGGCCCGCTGGGCGGCTCCATGCTGAACATGTAATCCGCCCACCACGGGCCAGCCGCCCACCAAACCGCGCCCTTCCACACGTCCGTGTTGTTGGCCATGTACTCCAGCATCCCCGCGATGGCCGTGCGACAGACATCGTTGGCCCCGCCGGCGTACTCGCCCAGGATGCCCACCTTGCCGTTGTCCTTCAGCCACTGCGTGGCGGCCTGCAGGCGCTCCGCGCCGATCGTCTCCGACACGCAGACGCCGGACGTCCCCGACCCGTCCGAGTCCAGGTACTGGTGCATCTCGTAGACGAGCTTGTCCTGCGGGTCGGTCAGCGCCTTCATGTTGTCGTTGATGTCCGCCCAGGTCCACGCTCCGGACCACGAGTTGCCCTCCGCGAAGATGTACTGAGAGGTGGCGCCGGCGGCCCGGATGCCGTCGATCGCCGCCTGGTTGAGGTCCAGCACCAGGGTTTGGTCCATGGTGTTGTATTCGTTGTCTGTGATGTCAGTACGGACCGCCGGTGGCAGGGGGGTGCTTACTCGTGTCGAAGATGACCAGGTCGTTGTCCTTGAACTGCCCGGCGAGGTTCTGCCAGAAGGTCTGGAAGTCGGCGGTGCTGGAGATGATCTCGTTGTTGCTGGGGCGGTTAGCGACGTTGAATTGCGAGATGAGGAGCTCATCACTCACTATCGTCCATAGTTGTGAGGGTCTACGATGGCATGGACACCCGCAGCCGTGATTGCATTTACCACCTAACCTTATCAGCCTCGATCATCATGGAGTGCTTGCTCGACCCACCGTCGTGAGATTGTTCAGGTAGGCCTCGTCATACGACCCCGTCATCGAGTTCGGGACCAATCTTTCCATCATGAACTGCACGCGGAAGATGTTCATGCCCTTGCTGACGAGAGTCGCGATGGCGGAGGTATCCGGGAAGATGTAGTCGATACCCTGGCCCAGTCAACGAGGTGAGTCTTGTCATGGGAATTCAACGCACCCAAGTTCCCGGAATGGCGGTGCCGAACTCGGCGCCCGACTCATTGGATCCGATCCCTATCGTTATGAGCACTCATCAACTGGGAGTATCTCGGATGGGGACAACATACATTCGAAAACAGAAGCCCGCTTCGTGTGTTCGTGGGTCGGGGCCGCCACTGCACTGCCGGCCGCGGCAGCAGCAACGAGTAGGTTAAGCAGCTTCATGATGCCTGTCGACTGTGCAATCTTGTTGCTTGCGCTCCCAACAACCACAACAGCGTCCGACTTTTATACTTCCATTCCGTGCGGATTCTTCCAAATGTAGAACGGAGCGGTCGACGGACCCTCTACCGTTGCACATCCATCAATACCGCAACCTGACACAACGATCAACGTGTCTGCCTCTATCCAGCTGTGCAGTAGTGCTGGTAGCAACCCGGATCCTCGACGATCATCGGTGCCATTCCCGCCTTGGCATCTGGGCATTTGGCATCAGGGCCGGGCACCCGGGGTGTGAAACAGGCACGGAGATTACCAGGGATCTTTATTCGCGGAGGTCCGTGGCGGTTCAGGCATGGATGTGCAGGTACCTAGTAACATGATCGCATGGTTCTAGTCTGACAGACTGTACAGAGACTGCCCAACAGCAGCTATATACTCATCACCCTTCCTCTCCCTTCCTCTCCCTTCCTCTCCCATCCCACCCTCAACACCCAAACCCCAGCACAGCAACCCAGCAATAAACCAAACCTACCACCCCCCAAGAACCCCCAAATACTTCTTCATATCCTCCGCCTGCAGCAAATGATACTTCATCCCCGGATGATAATTATTCCACCACACACAGCTCACCCCATCATCATTGATGCACGTCGCATCCGGGAACCCATACGCCGTCGGATCGTCCAGGACCTTGGTCATGAACGACCACGCGTCGTAGAACACGGTCGTCACCTACCCGCACGCCCCAGTTAGCCAGACCTTTAACCTTACCCCCTCTCCCCTTCCCCAAACTCAACCCCCAGAAAGAGAAAGGGAAAAAACATACCCCCCCAAACTCCCCCCGCAACCCCTGCACCATCGCCTCCAGATTCCGATTAAACGTCGCCAGATACGCCGCATGCCGCGCAACGGTGGCGTTCCCCTGCTCCAAAAACAAAGGACTGCGGCTCGTGGGCGGGACATTCAGGAACAAAAACCTGCGGCCGCCGGCCGCATAGATCTGGGCGACTTGCTGCTTGAGGCGCGCGATGAGGCGCGGGGTGTAGCTTGCTGCGTCGGTGGAGGCGTAGGCGTTGCCGATGCTGTTGCTCGGTTATCAGGCTGCGCTGGGTTTGCGTTGGGGGGTGATTGCGTTTGTTCTGCTTGGAAGCCAGGGGCGGAAGAGGGGCAGGGGAGGAGGCAGCGTACTCATTGATCCCGATCCAGATCCCAAACACCGCGTCGCGCGAGGTCCACGGCGCACTGGCCGGCTTGTCGCTGTAGACGGCCTGGAAAAGCCGGAGCTGGGCGGCGAGGTCGCCCGGGTAGGCGGGGACGAGGGCGTTGTCGATGGTGGCGCCGCCGGCGGCGAGGTTGTAGTTGAGCACGAGGGAGGCGTTCTCCTGCGTGGTCAGGTAGCCGATGTAGTTGGGGCCGTTGGTGGTGGTGCCGATGCCTTGATTCCTTGTCAGCTCTGAGGCGTGGGGTGTGCTGTCCTGTCTGGGTGTGGTTGTCTGGGGTTTTGGGTATCGCGGGGGAAGGAGGCTGGAGGAAGATGGCTGAGCTTCTAGTAAGGTAATACAGTACATACCCAAATCCGGATTCCCCATCGGCGCCGCAGCAGACGGTTGAGTCCCCGAGGCACTGAACCCGGTCTGGGAGTAGGAGTCGCCACTAGTTGCATGGTTTCAATCTCTTAGTATGCAGTCTTCTTTTCAACCACACAACAACAACAGTATCCATACAAAGTGAAGAAATAAGTCGGACTGGTCGGCCCCGCGCGAGGCGATGGCCCGGCTCGAGCCGTGGCCAGCATGGCTGCTATCCCAAGCAATAACTTCATGGTGGCGCTGGGCTGGCTTATATCGGATGTGACGATGAGGAATTATTATCACTCCGAATGCCCTACATGATGGGTCGCCGCTGTCTTTATATGCAGAGTTCTGGAAGAGATTCCCTTCCCCTCACGGGGGGGGCGCTGCTCGATTGCTATTATCCCGAAACTACTCCGTACCCTGGCCGCTTGCTGCTGCTGCTGCTGCTGCTGCAAGTCTGCACTGCATCGCACCACAAAGGCTGGCACTGGAAAACTGAATTTAACCGGCACCCCAACCACTTGCCAGCTCAATTCCTGCAGCTTGTGTTCCGGGGTGCGGGGTTCCAAGCTCTTTGATCTGCAAGGGATCCCTGCAGTGAGGATGGGCTATACCCCTTTGGCTACGGGATGTCCGTCTGGCATGATTGCTTGGATACGGCGGTGCCGGTGGGTTTCGTTCCGTGAAATGTATTTGCTATGCGTCTATATTTCTATCTCAAGGTGTATGTGCAATTCCCATGGTAAGCTGATTCTACAACCGCAGATCCAACATCTCCATGCCCGCGCCGCACACAACCAGCTTGGCTGCGCCCGATACCTCGTCGTGGATGATATCCAACGACGAGATGTCCGCCACGCAGCTGTACCGCTCCACCGCTCGGTGGATCTGGAGCCGCTCCCGTCCGTGCCGGCGGGGGTCGACGTCGATCCACCAGATCTTGACTTGGTGATCGTTGCCCGAGGACGCAACGACGAACCTGCTCACCCCATCACCGTCGACGTGAGCATGCTTGAGGACGCGGACCGTCGTGGCGCAGGCTGCATGCGCGTCGGGAATGGTCACGGTGGCTGTCGCGTCGCTGGCGCTGGAGGTGTCCAGCAGAGTCGCGGTCACGGCGTTGTCGTCGCCACCGGCGACGATCAGCGCCAACGTGGCCGACAGGTCGGCCACATCCATGGCCTTGATGCTGTTCCAGTGGATCTGGTACCGGTGCTCGCAGGAGATCGTCTCCGGCGCAATCGATGCTCCGCGGATGGGTTGCTTGGGGAGGAGCGGCGACGAGATGGTGTAGAATCGCTCGAGAACGGAGGTCAAGTTCCACAGGGTGAAGTATCCATCCGTCGCGGCCGTGATGAGATTCAAGGTAGAGCCTTTCAGAAGGAATCGAGCCTGGGTGAGACAGTTGCTCATATAGGTGCCACTGGCGAGAAGAGTGAAGCAGCCCTTGTCGGTGGACGAGTAATGGAAGATCTAGATCATTAGCACAGCGCATGAGGGATATAGGAGAATAGTAGGTACCTTAATGGTGGAGTTGGAGTATGTCAGACAAAGAAGGAATCCATTCTCCGCCTCTCCCTCGTCCACTTCCAACGTATCGAAGCTCGTCACCCGCAGATCGGAATTGGGGTCACTCTTGGGACACTCTCCCGCCAGCATGGTTCCCAGACCAAATCGGGGAATCGAGCACGCCCGCCAGACGAAGAATTGCTCATAGCCTCCGCTGGTAAAGAGGAATCTGCCATCCTTCGACCAGTTCACGCTCTGGATTCCAGTATGATGCATCCGCAACAGCCGAAGGCATTTGAACGCACCCCAGCGGGGCTCTGATCGCGGGTCTTGAGGTGCGAAAATCCGCACATTGGTGTCTTCTGAGCCAGTCGCAAACAAGGGGCCTAGACCATCCGAGTTCTGCGTGGCACACATGTCCTTTACTTCCCGGCCATGGCTTCCGGAACGCAACGTGCGACTGGCGTCAGGCTGTATCGACAGCGCAGTCAACCCGGATTGAATCCAGATGAAAGATCCCGCCCAAGCAACATCTTGGCTGGGCTGGAACGCCCAGGATCGCCGGCCTCCGTTACAGTTGTGTCTGGCCACCTCCGTCTGAGCGGACTCGTTCCAAAGCACAAAGTCCATCGGCTGGAACCCATAGAACATCAAGTCTTTGGAGACGTTGTCGATATAAGCGCCTGCTATCTCACAATTGAACGCAAGGGAGGAACAGTGGAGCGTTCTCAAGGAGACCGAGGGGTCCGGGCCTGTTGAAAAGACCAGCTCATGAATGCTATACGTTCCATTCCGACCACAGGTCATGAAATATGGCAGATCGGATCCTCTATCCCCGTAAAGCGATGCAAATGAAGTGATGAAGCTGAGTCCTTCGCGTCCGTGTACCTTGCACGAAGGCATAACTGGCTGAAGGACTTCTGACACTCGCACGGGATACACAGCAAAGGAGCCCGTCAAGGATCCCAGCGCGATATACTGGTCATCATGGATCAAGGCTGCAGTCGACACACCGAAACCGTGGGGCAGGTCAAGCTTGACCCTGTCCACGCATGGATCTGCGCCGTCTGCCATCGTAGCCAAGAACAGATCGGCCTTCTCGGCTTTCGGATAAACCGCGACGAACGACAAAGTTGCAGATTTCTCGGTCGTGCTGGACTGGTAATCGAGAGCGTACAATCCCACCGGTCTTTGGCCAGCATCGACAACTTTGGTGAGTGCTCCGGTACTGTGATCGTATAGTCGTATTAAGCCTCGGGCGTTACCCAGAAGAGCTATGCCTTTCTGTGGCAAGCCCGTGGTGACTGAATACGAGCGCAGGTCTTCCTCAACCGTTAAAGTCTCTTTGAGGATGTGCTGTGTAGTCGAGTTCCCCGTCCCAATCCGTCCGATTTGGATCTCACCACGCACGGTCGTGGCGACAAATGAGTCCTGCGAGACGAATCCGAACCCTTTGATTGAAGTCTCGATGCGAGGTTCAGGACTGGAGGCATCTAGCGATGTTGCGATGCGGTTACGGAGATTGGGCAAAATGACATCTCTATCGCCATGTAGTTCGATGGTAAAGCTCTTCACGGCGCCATCAGCACCACCGGTATAGACAACCGTTTCTGTGTCGGTATGACGCATCTCAAGTGCCCAGATGTGCTTGCCTGTGTGTTTGCGAATAGACATGGTCTCCACCAGTTTAAATTGAGGCTTTTCTGTCGAAGACGGGTCCCAGATCAGGTCCCAGAGCAAGCATGTAGCATCTTCGCCACGCGACAGCAGATTGACTTTCCCAGGGCCTTGCTTGACAGGCAGGAAATGAACACCCCAGATACGGGCCAAGTGACCAAACGCACTCGCAAGAATGGACTCGGACCCGAGCCCATTGTCACCAGCTCCTGCACCGAATCCTGTGCCGCGAAGTTCGAACCCATCGGTCGAATAGGCGGGAGTGTCGTGACGGGAAGTACGCTCGCAATCGGAGATGTCCCAGATCCTGACAGTCCTGTCGTCACTACAACTAGCCAGCAGTCGTCCATCACGACCCCCGTGCAAGGAAGGAATCAGAGGAGAAATCTGGACTCCAAAGATCGATCCTTCATGGCCTGTGAAAAAGTGGTGAATCGACCCGGTTGCACTTGTCGTATCGTCCTCAGCCAAGAAGCACGACCAAACTATAATCTCGCCAAAAACAGTGCCAGCCGCAACAAGGATGTGGGATTCGGACAGCGAAAGCACATTCGCCGAATAAAGGATGGACTTGACACCAGCCACAAGTTGGCGGATTTCAACCCGTTTCTCATAGTCAGCCCCGGCCTGCCTGACAAGCTGCACACCCAAGAGCGCATTGTGGGCAGTCAGCATATAAGCATTTTCGATTTCGCCATCCGTATCGGGCGCGCATCCGGCCAGGATCCAATCCGGCGCGAGGTACTCTGGGCTCGCAGCCTGTACACTTGCGCTCAGCTCCTGACTGTCGATGTGTAGACTGAACGCTCGTACGGACTGCCCGCCCCACGCAAGAAAGTCCGCATGTTGTTCTTGTTCTGAGTGACCCAGCGCAACGATCCCATGCACGTGGTTTCGTTTGAACACTTTCAGCTCGGCGAGCAGACGCCCGCTTTCTTCATGAATGAGCCGGACATAGGTCCCTTGGCTCTGGAGAAGAATTTTAACATCCTTGAAGACCAGCGCCTTCAGCGCAGTTACCGGGACGCATGTGTCAATGTGCTTGGACGCATATTAGCAAACAGCCTCCGTCGCCGACGCAAAAAAGAGCAACCACTCACCTCGAGGGAGGAAGTCATTGATGCTACCAGCGCGACACATTGGTTCGCTTGGTTCCAGATGGCTTGTCACTGACCTCTCTACCTTAAGCGGTGGCTTTTCCCCGCGTGGAGAATCATTTCCTCGCTCAAAATTCCAGAATTTCCACCCATTGTGAGGATGCTTACGTAAGCCGTGCGGGATGCCCACTTTTCCCTATTGAGACGCTGTGGCACGTGATGTGCTATGTAGGAGGACCGAGGGCTCATCTCATTCACCCACAAACAGAAACAATGAATCGATAATGTACCTTGCGCGCAAAGCTTGGATGCAAATCCGACACGATGGGTTGTTTTGTCGAATGGTTGGTTCTTTTGTGCGATACGTGTGTGTTCTACAATTTTCGTCATGCCTCGCAAATCGACTCACTTGATATGTTCCCTCGACCGTGGGGTCAGGCTTGACCTTGTCCTCAAGGATTCACAAGCTTTTCTGGGGATTCTTCGTGGCCTCATTAATCTGACAACCTAGGATGCAAGGAGCTACACATGCTTGCAGAACTATCCAAGACATGCGCGGATTGTTCCGAGAACTTTGAGACACTGATCAACAGGCACAGGGGGTAAGCATGCTGATCAAAGTTTCGCTCATAGAGTGCTGGGCGCTGTTTCCAAGCAGCAGATCTAGTGGTCTCGATAAGAAGCCAAGAGCTATCCTCGATAAAATTTGGGCAATGGGAGGAATAGGTTCCATAAGCTTTACCTCGAGCGCTGAGCAGATGCAGATAAGGAAGGGCCCTCCGGCAAGGTCAGATAGACCGCTTAAAGATGTCATCGGCGCCAGTCGCTGCGAAAAGGCTCATCCCCAGAGGCGCTGCTTGAACCGATGAGGACAACGAGGTACAAAACTCAATGGCTACTTCTCCTGGATCTCCACATCATAGCCTGCATGAAGGGAAAAAAAATCATCTCTCGTCATGCGTCAACAACTAGTGATACCACCCTACCGTTCGTCATGATGTTGCAGTGCCGATTCTTTTTTGCCAAGCAATGCGATAGTTACCAGGAGATCGGGTTTCGAATGGTCCAAATGCGGAGATGGTCGATCACTGCGACCAAAGAACACTGCATCTGTGCGTGCGGTATAGGAGCTTAAATTATAGACCCGCATGGATCTGAGACTCGCAATTTATCTCGAATGCTCAGGACTCAGTACTCTAGCCTTACGAGCACGGTTTGGTGGCTAACTAATTGTAATTTGTGGTCCGAGAGTCTCCATGGGGCTGGGAAGCACTGAGTACACAGTATAGTAGGTTAAGATTTTCCTGTTCTACACAAACCGGAGGTGAAACCCATGCTATTAGGCAGCCATGCAAACCTTGACTGAACTAGCTTCCAGTCGGTAGGGTCTGATTGCATCGTGCAAACTCTGAATTTGCAGCTTCATCTTCAGTGTATCGAGAGCAAACGATCGATGACATCAGATATGGGGAAGGCGTTCTTCGGATCGCGATGACGTCGCGGATGGGATGATGGGGACAGAGGGTGGTATATCAGCCCTTCCTCGACGGTTTCGCTTTTTGTCTTTCCCCTGCTTGTACTCCGTATCTCTGATCATTTTCATAAATTAACAGTGAGCATAACCGAGTGCTCTTCTAATTGCACGCTGTGATTTGCCAATTCGCCCTTGGATCAAGCTTCTTAACAGTACACGCACTTGTACTCAGTAGGTCGTTCGCTGGACTCATTCCTGCCCGACCGAGTCCACAACCGAATCGGGATTAGAGCGTTGTCTCCGCAGTCTCGACGTCACCAGCCTCCCTAAAGCGTTGCAATCACACCCACTTCAACTCTCTAGTGCTTCTATCTTGCACCGCTTGCACTGCTTGCACCGCAAGGGGAGATCCTCAGGACCCAGAGCGCCAGAGTGTCATCGATCCCTCCTTAACAGATCGCTTAACCGGTTAGTGCCTCGCTCAATCCACGGCTTTTAGTCGATCATTAGCCCACTAATCCAGATCTCGAACAGGTTGCAGTTCCCACCCACCTCATCCTTCGTCGGTCTCTCTTCCGTCGCATCCCGTCGCACTCGGTGCCACACGTCACTCCTGCGCAAAAAAAAAAAAAGCTCTATCTTAGAAAGGATCCCGACCGTGCCGATTCTGCTGCATTCCTCTTCCGCGATTTCCTCTCCTCATATCCTCACTTTGTCCTATTCTTTTCACTTCCCTTGAGCTTTCACAACAACAGCGAGCAACTTCGTCACAATGCATCGCACCTATTCTATGCGCCAGTCGCGCGTGCCCACCGCCTCGCAGATCGAGAACCCTCCCCCGCCATTGTCCTCCACCAAGTCGAACAGACTCTTCGGAAAGGGTGGCTTCGGTGCGTGTTCTTCTTTGACCTCTTATGGTGGACGCCCATCCTGCTAACACGATTAAGGTACAGGCCATGCCCTGCGCAAGAACGCCGCCGGCGCCTTCGGGCCAGACCTAGCCCGCAAGCTCTCCCAGCTGGTCAAGATGGAGAAGAACGTCATGCGCAGCATGGAGATGGTGTCCCGGGAGCGCATGGAGACTGCTGTACGTTGTCGCTTGCATGGAAGTTCCTGATCGGTACTGTACTGACAACAGCAGCAACAACTCTCCATCTGGGGTGAGAACTGCGACGAGGATGTGTCTGACATCACCGACAAGCTCGGTGTCTTGCTCTATGAGATTGGAGAGCTCGAGGATCTCTTCGTCGACCGTTACGATCAGTACCGTGTTACCATCAAGAGCATTCGCAACATCGAGGCGTCCGTCCAGCCCAGCCGTGACCGTAGGTTTCTTTTTCCCAGTGCCGCAGGAGTCGAGTCACTGATCGTGCATCCACAATGCAGGCAAGCAGAAGATCACCGATGAGATTGCCAAGCTCAAGTACAAGGACCCCAACTCTCCCCGCATCGTCGTCCTGGAGCAGGAGTTGGTCCGCGCGGAGGCCGAGTCGCTCGTTGCGGAGGCCCAGCTCTCCAACATCACCCGCGAGAAGCTCAAGGCCGCCTTCCAGTACCAGTTCGATGCGCTCCGCGAGCACTGCGAGAAGGTGGCGCTGATCGCTGGCTACGGCAAGCATCTGTTGGATCTGATCGACGACACACCAGTGACGCCCGGTGAGACTCGCCACGCCTACGACGGCTACGATGCCAGCAAGGCCATCATCCAGGACTGCGAGGAGGCGCTCGCCAACTGGGTCACCTCCAAGGCTTCGGTCAAGTCCAACCTGTCCACCCGCTCGCGCACCCTGTCGCAGCGTCGCCGCGAGGGCGTGAACAAGAGCCGCGAGGGCGTCGACCTCTCCGGCCAGGACCAGCCTCTGGGCCGTGACTCGTGGGTGCCCGCCGACCAGCACTCGTCCTACCACCACGATGTAGAGGATGGCGAGGAAGTCGCCAGCACTCTGGACGGTGAGACCCGGGGCCGCGAGGAGGAGCGGGAGCCCGAGACAGCCGTTTAGAGAGGCTGCTGCTTTCCACTTACCGAAGAAATCTGGTTGATATTATCACGATCATTAAGGTTCCTGGAGTACGCCACTAATTGTGATTTGGTTTTCATCGAGATTCCCGCTTGATGTGTTGTTCTGCCTTGTTTTGATTCTGATTTTCCTTTTCACCCCCGATGAATTACTGATAATTAATCGATTCCGATGACGATGTCTATCCTGCCAGAAACAAAAAAGAACATAATATCCAGTCGTGTGTCCGCCAGAGGGGTGTGAGTCTTGTGTGTGAGGGCGCACACGTCTGCGATGATAGCCACAGGGGGATATGACCTTTTTCCGCGGGCGACTTTTTCCCTCTACTCTCCTAATCGACTAATGTAATACTATACCACTTGCCCAAGTTGACGGTGATGGGGAGGTACATGTTTCACGTCTGTTGTGTTCCGTCTTGATTGCAGTCATGTTGTTTAGGATCTGAATAGTAATCGATTGACTTGCGGTCGTTTTCGTTGGAGTATGGTCTTGTAGTAGATTGGTCAAGAGCGTGGTGAGCCCATCTTTTCAAGGCTGGGGAGTCTAGCGATCGAAGTAGATTGCCCATTCGCCTCGAACCATGAAAACGATAGATACAGTACCCACCAACCCAGCACCGCATCTCACTGATACCCGAACGGCATAGCGATAAACGACCATCCCGGCCTAGGAACCGCTACAGACCCTTGAATGATAATGCATGAGCCCTAAGCAGGACCTCCAACCGCAGCGTCACCATTCTCACCAACCCATCTTCACAACCAGAGACCACCCCACAACATGGATACCGCATGGATGCGCCCTACAGCCACAACCCCCCACACCAATCACCCACTATCTTCCCATCCGCTGGCCTAGACAAGAATTCCCACCACCATCCCATCCAAAGATGTAGGCACGGAAAATTCATAAGGTTATCGATGATCCCCCGTCCGGACGCCAGCCATCCGCGGACTCAACTCCATCTCATAGATGAGCATGCCATCGAGTCAGACGCATACAGGGACAACCCTCGATCTCGCGAATTCCCCTCCGTAATCCCTTGATAGGGTATCTTTCTGTTGTTCCCCGCTTACCTCACGATTTCTGATCCTAGCATCGACCGAGTACGGATATCACGTCCAAAGGCATGGGACTTGGGATGGTGGGTGGGGTATGTATGGGTGGGTGGTTAGGATGCTGGTGCTGCTGCTGCTGCTGCTGCTGGTTGCTGAAGTTGAGGGCTGTAGGGGTGGGGGTATACTGTCGTGGTGTATAGCTGAGTCCAGCATGAAGCAGATTAGATACTGGTATAGGTATAGATATAGACTTACAAGATTCGTCGAGGACCGGAGTCCCTAGCTTGCGTTCTGATCCGGTGTAGCTATACTAGATCAGCCTGCTCCGGTGTCGCGGGCTGTCGTCGGGCGGTTGGTGGTTGGTGGTTGAAGCATTTGCTGTCGTCATGTGGGGTTATCCGGGGGTAGAGCGTAGGTATGTATGGTACGGTGGTTCAGGTGCAGAGTTTTGAGATTGCCGATTGCCGATTG